TTTTTTACTCTGTTCAGTACTGATTTTGTGTTGGTTTTTCTTTTTTTCCTTTGGCTGAGGAATCTGTTGTAGAGCTTTTGCTGGTGTTGCTGGATGTAGCTCCCCGAGACCCACAGAATGGAACACACTAGAAGTGCACCCTTTTAATCTTTACTAGTTCATTGTGAAGTTGCTGTGTAAGTTAATAAAAAAAACCACACCTGTAAATACCTTGTTTGCTGGGCAGATCTGGCCGAGTTGCAGGGAAGGAATTCCTGAGTCTGGGTTGCGATTGCTGCTTAGAAGGACAATTGCCAGGGAATATTCAGGCTCCCCCTTGGTTCTCCTTGCCCTTTTCCCTGCCACCTAAAAATGGGGGAGAGGAAGGGAAATCGTCCTCACCACTACTTCCCACCAGGAAACAGGCATAAAAGAGTTGGAATTCTTCATTCCTGAGGGGCTCGTGCCCTGCCCTGGGTTTTCTGGCAGCTCTGCACAACAATAACTCAAAGGCAGAACGAGATGTAAAAGTGCTTTTCTAATGCAATATTAAAGGCATTAAAGGAGTTTTTTTGACGTGGCATGTCTTGAAATAAACATCAATGATATGTGACAAAGGATCATTCTTTCTTTAAAAAGAACCTGTCTGGGGGAAGGAAACCTGGCTGCTTTTCCTGTGTCGTACTGTCCTTACCCGTGCAGAAACGCCTCATCCCGCTGCTTCTTCCTTGGCTTTCTTCTTCCTTTGGTTCTTCATGCAGCTTCTCCTGGTCCTCAGTTGGCTGTTTCCCACCAGCACATCCTTGGTTTTCTTGCTTCTGGTAGAACCAAGCCCCTCTGCTTCCCGTGGTCCCAAGCTTTAAGCACTGGATTTGCAAGGAGCTGGCTGAGCCCCGGGGGTTTCCTGGCTTTTCCTGGAAGACCTGAGAGCAGGTTTGGCCATGATTCCCTCTAAGCAAAGGTCTGGAGAGCAGCATTCCCACAGCTCCCCGGGGCTGCAGGAACATGGATGAGGGTGTGGTTTGGCACTTCTCCACCACGAGGTCCCTGGGTGTGCTCAGGTATGTTCTGATAGTCCTTGCTGTTAGTCCGTGCTTAACGTGCCCGCAGCCCTAATCCCAGTTTTCCAGAGAAAACACACTTCCAAAGTGAGCACAGAAGCAACATGATCTTTATTTTCTTCTTTTTTTTTTTTTTGCACCATCTGGTTTCAGGTTTTAGTTTTCCTTTGCTCCTTGGGAACCATGGGAACAGACCTTTCTAGTGCTGCCTTTGGTGTGATTTTTGGGGTGAGGGTCTCGGCTCTGTTTCTTTTCCCCTCCCCGCTCTGCCCTGCTCGTTGTACAGCCCCATCACGCAGCTTTTCCATGCCTCACCTTTTGTCTTGATAAAAGTAGTTGAAGAAATTGTGTAAGGGGGGTGGTGGGAGGGGAAGGTTCCTTTTCTTCATGTTGGAATGTCACTGGTACCTCAGCTCTGTTTGATAATGGCGACGACGACAAGAGAACAAATCCTTAGCGCTTGAACTAAATAAATACCTGTCTCATTGGAAAGCTCTGGGTCTCTTCTCTCCATCACAACACAGGTGGGAGGTGCAGCTCCAGATTTGGGGGCTGGAAGTGCCGCAGGAGGAGTTTTTTAAGGGCAACAGGAATTTTTGGGGGTGTTTCTTTGCAGAGGGAAGACGTGGAGTTGTGCGTTTGCTGTTCCTCCGGTTCCACGCTGTGTCTCTGCCATTTTCCAGCTGTGCCTTTCTGGGCCTTTCCCCGCTCTTGACATCCAGCTGTTCCCTTTCCAAGGGCCTCAGCTTCCCTGGGACACGGGTGGACCGACCCCACCTTCCCTGAGGAGGATCCTCCTTAAGCCTTGGAGCTGGGCAGGCGGGGCCGGGGAGGTGAGTACCAGTAACAGATGCTCGTGGATGAGTTATCCTTGTCTTTCCTGGAGTTGACAATCGTGGAATCACAGGATGGTTGGCTTGGAAGGGAGTCCCAACCTTCTGCCACAGGCAGGGACATCTTCCACATGGGTTGCTCCAAGCCCCTGGTCGGTAGAGAAGGGAATTCCCTGGATTTGGTGTGGGAACACCAGCGTCCCAACCTCAGTCCCTTGGTGAAAGGCTGTGAATCAATTGATTGGGAAACTGTGGGGATGTGCTGGAATTCAGGGATATGGGAAGAGCCATGTGGGGACAAGTCACTGGAGAGGGTTTTTGTCACTGGGGGTAGCTCCTCTTCCTTGTACTTGGCACCTCCAGGTCCTGGGAGCCTTTGGAAACCCCACATTCCCCTCTGGGCAGTGGGTTTGGGATGGAAGGAGCCGAGTGGGATAGCAGAGGGTGGTGTCTCCAAAGTGTGACAGTCCCAATTCCTCTTTGGAGTTGAGCCTTGGGGCTGCCACCTCAGATACTGGGATCCCAATTTCCCACCTCTGGAGGGAGGCTGGATTAAACTGCAGGGAAAGGGTGGGGGGCTCCCAGAGGGTGCTGGTCCCGGTGGGTCGAGCTCTGCTCCAAACTCCGACAGGGAGCGTCTGGCTCAGCCTGGAGGGTGCTCATGTTTTCTTTGCCCCCTGGTGGGATCAGCCGCGATTTTTCCAGGCTGGAGCATCCACAGCATCCTCCCGGCAGCGTCTGCAGAGCCGCTGCAGCCGCCGGCGCCGTCCTCTGGCTGCAGCTGTGCTTCCAGCGGCGGAATCCTCGGCAGAGCGGAGCGCGGGGGCTCTCCCGACCTGCTGCAGCAGCTCCTTTTTCCATGCTGGGCATGTCCCGGCTCCGGAAGGAAGATAAATGGGATGGGCAGGCTGCGGCAAAGGCAGCTGCAAACAGCCGGCCCTCTCCTCCTATCTGCATTCCCTCCTCCCCTGCCGCTCTCCCGCTGCCTGAGCCGGGATTTCCAGGCTTGCTGGGCTTCATTTTCACCATTTCAATGGATCTTTCATCGATTTAATTGATTTTTCATCAATTGGCAAAAATACCTATTTTATTCCCCTCCTCTGCCCCTTTAACCACCTTTCCCTTCCCCACCCTGAGCAGGCAGCAAAGTGGCTTTTTGCAAGAAATTTGGGATCCTCTTGGAGGAGCAGGATGTAAATGCCGGGCACGGGTGTATCGGGAATGAAACCTCAGTGGAATTGCAGTGCTGGGAGCAGCTCTGCCCTTCCCGGGAGGATGAGCAGGAGGGAAGGGCTGAAGGCAGCTGGATGATGATGCTCCTGCTGCCCCACAGCTCTGCCTTGGGGTGCTGTTCCCAAATTTTCCAGGCAAGGGAGAAAATGGGATTGGCACTGGCCTTTCCCATGTTTATACGAGCTCGGGAGGAAATCTGAGTGGAAGTTTGAGGGTGGAATTTGAGCTCGGGTGAAAATTCAAGGTTTGACCCTGACATTTCCCGAGCTGCTTGATTTCCAGGGAAATGTGTTTGGATCCCAGCGAGGGTCATGTGGGCCCCAGCTGATTTCTGTGCTGTGGGATATTGTGGGATTCATCTTTCCAGGCAGTTTAGGGGCACGTTTGGGCCTGTGAATCCTGCCGTGTCCATCCTCGTTTCCAAGGAGTTTGGGAGTTGTTCTGAGCTTTGCTCAATATTTGGATCTTCCTCAGCTCTCCCTGCTGGGAGAGAGGAGTCATGTGAGTCTGGATTGGAGTTGGGAATGAAGCAGCTCATCCCTAATTTCTGTTCCTCAGCAGTTCTTGTCCCTCTGGTCCTGCCCGATGGCAGCACCGAGAGCTCCTGGGAAGCCCCTTTCCTGAGCGGAGCAGAGCCCAGTCCAGGTGGTTTTGTGGACTGTGGGACTGGTGTTTGTGCTTCCAGACTGATTTTTGAAACATTTAATTGCTCCTTTGTTCAGCTTCCTAGTGCAGGGCCTGGCTGCCATCAGCTCTTCCCACCAGAATCGCTGCTGGAGGCACGTGCTGATCCATCACTGCCCTTCCTATGGATCGCTCCATGCCCCTGGGTCTTTGGGAGACCAGCACAGCAGGAGAGAAGCAGGATCAGCCCTGGGATGTTCAGGTACCACAGGGAAGGGGAGTGTGGGAGTCGGCAGCTGGACGTGGCCTGGGAAGGAGGGAGGATTTCTGGGTCGTGTTGCTCTTGAAAAACTTCCAGACGTTTCCATCTCCAGGTGTGTCTCACCTGGGATTGTGCACCTTGTTTAGTGAATCGTGGAATGGTTTGGGTTGGAAGGGTTTAAATTAGATATTAAGAAGAAATTCAGCCTTGGAGCTGAGCTGTCCCTGCCTCTTCCCAGTACCTTGGAACTCTGGGAGGGATGGGAGAAGGACACGATGGGCAGGGACACCTCCCACTATCCCAGGTTGCTCCGAGCCCCATCCAACCTGGCCTTGGACACTTCCAGGGATGGGGCAGCCACAGCTTCTCTGGGCAACCTGTGCCAGGGCCTCCCCACCCTCCCAGGGAAGAATTCCTTCCCAATATCCCATCTATCCCTGCCCTCTGGCTGTGGGTGTCGGATCAGCACCCGAGGAGGTGACGGTGGCTTGGTCATGGAGAGGGCAGAAGGGATGAAAAGGCAGAGGGGTGTGTGGGGCCAGATCCTTCTCCTCTCCTGCCCTTGGGAGCTGGTGTTTTATGCTGGGATTAACCCAGGGATGGCAGTGCCTGTCACTGCACTGGTCCCTTCCCAAGCGGAGACGCCTCATCCCACAAATCCGGGATGCAAAGGAGCTGCTCTGCCAGTGCAGGATGGTGGTTCCCCTGCACCAGAAGCAGGATTTTTGGGACAGCTTTGTCCCTTCTGTGCCTCTTTGGGGTCTTTATGGCGTGTTCAGAGGCTGGGGTGGGATCCCTGGGGGTGCTCCTGTGAGGAGCTGAGGCGTTTTGGAGCCTTCCCACTGCCCTCGGAGCTCCCAGCTGGAAAGGGAGGGAGGCAAAGGGGCACAGGAGGAGACAGGGGAGCTGGTGCTGTGCAGCTCTCGAGGGGGACACAACCCTTCCCACCCTCTGGAATGGCCCAGGCTGAGCAGCCCCCCCTCCTCCTCACTCACCACAGGCCAGGGCTGGTTTTTCGCTGCCTTTATTAGACCGCACAGGGGGTTGTGTTTTTATTCCCTTCCCGGGAGCAGATGCAGCAGGAGGGAGGCAGGGAAGGCAGGAGAGGATGAGGATGTGCGTGGGGATATCCCAGACCCCCTGGGTGCAGGGATGAGCTGATCCAGGGCTTTACTGGCAGAGCTGGGTGCTGGTGTCACTGGTGGTTCTTTATCCAGCTGTGGGGTCTGTTTGTAATTCCTACATTTGTTTAATGTCAGTGCTGTCTCCAGGATAAAACCTTGGTTGTAAGGGTGATGCTCAGCAGCTGCTCCTAATCCCCTTCCTGTGCTGCCCAAAAAACCCAGGAGCTGCTGCTTGTCCCTACACTTGATCATGTGATCATGTGTCCCCCCTCTATCCCAAATCCCGGCTGTGAAGTTCCCGGCTTGGCTGCCAGGAAGGATCCTGGTCCCCAGGGAGAGCTGCCCTTCTCCCCCTCCTAAAAATCAGGGTGCTGCATGTCCCTCCCACTCGGCTGGGATATTCCCTGGGCTCTTCCCAGCTCAGTTCCCAGGGGTTTAACTCCAGTTCCTGGGGGTTTTGCACCATTTCTCCAGCTTGGCCGGGCCTGCGGGGCTGGAAAGGGGCGAGAATCCTGCAAAGGTTTTCATCCTCCTTAATCCTTTACCCCTCTCTTGAGCACCCCTGTGGCTGCCCCTTGTGTCAACTCCTGCTCCAGTGCTGGAGCCTCTCCCAGAAAAAGCCCCTAAAAAGCCTCTTCATGGAGCTCACCCAGCCAAAATTGACTCCCCCTTGCTCCCAAATCCAGGTATTTGTGCAGCCAGCTCCCTGTGGAGATTCGGGGTGAGGAACTGCACCCCCCCTCTGCCGACAGCCCCGGCAGCTCCCAGGCCCTTTCCCGCCGGGAATCGGATGCTGTGGAGTTCTGGGGTGGGTTTCAGGGTGTCTCTGAAGCACGGGGGGGGTTATTCAATGCAGAAGCTGGGGCTGGCGGGAGGGCGGGCGCGGGGTCTCCGCCCCCGGGGTTTTTCGGGGGGGGGGGCTCAGGGCAGGTTCCAAGCCAGGGGGTGAGTTAAACTGGGCTGGGGGCGCTGCGACCCGGTTAGGGGGGGGCCGTGCCCCAGTTTGGGGGGGCCTCCTAAAACCAGCAGGGCATCCACATGAAGGAGCCCAGGGCGGCGCCGGTGGCCGCCCCCGCCAGCAGCCCCAGCGCCATCTGGTCCCCGGACACGCGGTAGGGATCCTCCCGCACGATCACGTGGGTCACCCCGGGACCTGAGAGGGAAAACGGGATGTGAGGGGTGAGCCAGGGGGGCACCGCCCTCCTGGCACCCCCCCAGTGCCACCAGCAGGGCCACCACCCACCTCCGTACTGGTGGCCGTAGTGGCCCGAGCTGATGTAGGCGGCCTGGTGCGAGTCCAGCGGCACCGTCTGGTAGTAGTCGTCGTCGTAGGGGTCGTACACGTGCACCTGGGGCAGGGGGGGTCAGCAGGGGGGCTCAGGGGGCTGTGTCCCCCTGTCACCTCGGGGGGAGAAGGGGACAGGGCCGCTTGGGGACCCTTGTGCTGCTGCCGGGGGATCTGGAGGGGCGGAAGGGCTGGGGCAGCCTGGGCTCAGCATCAGCATCGTCTGCCCCTGCTCAGCCACCCTGGGTCTGCTGCCCCTCACTCTGACCCTGCCCTGGCACCTTAACTGTGTCCCTGTCACCTTAACTGTGTCCCACCAACTCAACTCTGCCCCCATTCCTCTTAACAGTGTCCCTGTCACCTCAGCACTGTCCCTGTCACCTTAACTGTGTCCCTGTCACCTTAACTGTGTCCCACCAACTCAACTCTGCCCCTATTCCTCTTAACAGTGTCCCTGTCACCATACCTGTGTCCCTGTCACCTTATTGAAGTCCCTGTCACCTCAGCAGTGTCCCTGTCACCTTACCTGTGTCCCTGTCACCTTACCTGTGTCCCTGTCACCATACCTGTGTCCCTGTCACCTCAGCAGTGTCTCTGTCACCTTAGCAGTGTCCTTGTCACCTTAACTGTGTCCCTGTCACCTTAACTATGTCCCACCAACTCAACTCCGCCCCCATTCCTCTTAGCAGTGTCCCTGTCACCTTACTGATGTCCCTGTCACTTTAACTTTGCTCCCACTCCCTTTAACAGTGTCCCTGTCATCTTAACTGTGTCCTACCACCCCAACTCTGCCCCCACTCCCCTCAATGGTGTCCCATTCCCTTTAACTGTGTCCCTGTCACCTCAGCTCTGCTCCCATTCCCCTTAGCTGTGTTCCTGTCTCCTGAACTGTGTCCCATTCCCCTTAACTGTGTCCCCATAGCCCTGTGTCCCCTGTCACCTTAACTCTGCCCTGTCACCCCCCCTGCCCTGCACAGGGTCCCCTCGGCTCTGTCCCCTCCCACCAGTGGTGGCATCCAACACTTCCCTCCTTCTCCCCTGTGGCTCCAGGGACTTCCCTCCCTGTGCCCCCCTGTGCATGAGGGGTCTCGAGGAGCCCCCCGAGCTCCGGGTCAGCCCTGGGTGAGGGCTGGGGTTGGGGTAACCTGCCCCCCTCCATCCCAAATCCCAAATCCCAGGCTGGGATGTGCCCCTGCTCCGGGGCACGAAGCCTCACCGGGGTGGATTTAGCCTCCAGCACAGCCATCTTCCAAGCACTGCAACAAAACAGAGGGACTTGGATTTGGGGGTGCTGGGGGTGGGAATTGTCCCCATTCCTCCCCCAGGGACCTGGATGTGGCACTAATCCCTAATTCCCTGTTGAGGAGTGCTGGGATAACAGGTGGGGATGGGAAGGTGCCAGGAGGTGCCAAACACCACAGGGCAGTTCCTGGGAATGGGCTCAGCTAACACCAGGGCAGGCAGGGATATGGCATCCAAATTTAGGGGGAAAAGCAGGTAATGGGAAAATTTCCATCCAACTGGGGCCAAGCTCAGTCGATCAAGCTCAGCTTGGCCATGGCTGAACTCTCCCTCCATCCCAGCTCAGCTGAAGCTTTCCCACTTTGAATTTTTTATAATTAAAAAAAGCTTTCATTAAAAAAAGCCCAGTTTTATAAAAATAAATGTTTAACCCTATTTCCAATTTTTTTTTTTTAGAAATCGAGAGAAGGGGAGCAGTGCTAAAAATGGGGGTCTGCCTAAAGCCAGAGGGGGCTTTACATTCCCCCTATTTATCCCCATTAACCAATGGACACCCTTTTCCAGGGATCCTCAGTCGGGCCAAGAGGGGATTTGTGATCCATGAGGAAACCACCCCACCCCACAGGGGATGGACTGCTTAAAAACAGCTGCTTCTGCCTCGGGATTATCCAGCGGGAAACCCAAACCTCCTCCTGCGCCTCTCGCCCCGTGAGTGGGTTTGAGGGAACAGGGGCTGTGTGGGAGGGGGTTTAGCCACGGGTGGGACGTGGTGGGAGCGGGACAGGGCTCTTCCCAGGCTGGGATAACCGGGATGAGAAGGGCCCCGAGGGGGTGGCAGCTTACACGGCGTCGTCCTGGCTCTCGGCGCACAGCGTGGTCTTGGAGCCGTCCCGCAGCACCACCGTCAGGAGGCATTCCCGGCTCCTCCCCTCGGGAGGCTGCACGTCTGGGAACGCGAGGGCAGGGATCAGCCTCAGCCAAGACCCAAGACCCTCCCTGTCCACCCCCGGGCTCCAAATCCCCCTGGCACAAGAGCTGATGGATGCAGCGTTAAATAACTGCACTGGGGGATTCATTCGGGCTCTGTCGGGATCCCAAAGGTTAAAAGGAACACGAGGAATGGGCTGGTGGGCAGAAACCTCCACCCCCAGGGCAGAAAGGACGTGGAAGGGCAGGAAACTGCCAAAAATGTGCCCGAGCTGCATCTGCTTTGAACTTGCCAGAGAGCACCCGGATTTTGTAGGAACGGGAGACGCTCCTCACTGGATTTGCACCACGAGCTCCAGCAGGAACAAAACCTTAAATCCATGAGGCTCCTGTGCCTTGCCCAGTTTTCCAGGCTCAGCAGGACCCTTGGGGTGAGCACACAAAGCTTTGGGATTGTGCTCCCACGGCAGCTCCAGCCCCAGAAAGGCTCTTTGTGCAGCAGCCGTGGGCTGTGGGGCCCAGCCAAGCCGGGCTTTGTTCTCCCTGTTTGTGCGAGACGGAGACGGATGAGTCAGGAACGTGGGATCATGTTTTCAACAAGCACAAACCAGAAGGAGAGTCCCTCCTTCCTTCCCTCCTTCCTTATGGAAAAGCAACGGGAGAGAAGATGCAACGAGCATCTCCCGGGGGATGGCTCGGGAAAGGAGTGAATGATGCAGCCCGGGTTAATTTTGGGGTATCCTGGATGTGCACGGGCAGAGCAGGATTTAGAAGGGTCACAGCCCCCTGGAGAGCCCTGGGATGGGGTTGGGAATGTGGGGCTTGGCTCACCCTTGCACTCCCGGCCGATCCGGACGTCCCGGCAGCTGTACTTGATGTGGATCCGGCCGTCCATGTCCCGCTGCGTCTCATCGTGGTAGTAAACCAGGCTGCCGTCCAGGTACAGCACAAACCAGTTCCTCTTCCAGCGGCGCAGGATGGAGCCTGGTGGCACGGGGAGGAGGTGAAGGACCCCGGTGATCCCACTGGGACACAACCAGCTCACTCACAAGACCCCCGGAATTGCAGCCGGATCCCTCCAGCTCCCGCGAGCCGCTGGACACCTGTGCCTGGGCACCGTGACCAGGTGGCTTTGAATTTCAAGGGGCTGCCAAAAAAGCCATCAGGGCGTCTTGGAGCTGCCCGGGAAGGGCTCCAGCCCCGGACACGGAGCCGTGTGTCCGTTCCCGTGGCAGCGGCCCCTCTCCCCGCTTACGTAAATCCCACAATCTCCCTGCCGTGGATTAACCGCCCAGGTCGGGGCTCCTCGTGTCCCCCCACTCCCCGCCTCTTCCCAGCATCCCAGAACCTCTCCTGGGGTTTTTTTTTCGGGGAGGGCTCCCAGCCTGGAAAGCCGAAGGGTCGCACTTACTCTGCCGCCAAAGCCAACCGCTCTTCACCAGCGCCATGGCTGCCCCAGGGTGTCCCGGATCCGCTGGCACGGGAAAAATAACGGGGTTAAAACAGCAGCTCCTGCCTCTCCCCCCCGGCTCTCACCTCCCTCCAGCCTCCGGGAGGGAAGTGGGGTGGGGATTCACTCCTGTTGCTCCTGGTTTTTTTGGGGGGATGAGCTCAGCATGCGGGTTAATCGGGGTTAGGCAGACGCGGGATTTCGTCATGTGGGAAACGTCGCGCGAAGGCAGGAGGAGGAACTCCAGCCACCTTGCTCTCTGCCTCTAATCCCATTGGGATTTAGGGATTATCAGCCCGTGGAGGTAAATGGAGAAATCCGGGCCGTGGATGCAAACAGGCAGTGGCTCCCCACAGCCCCAGTAACTTTCCACGGGCAACGACACCTGCACTTGTTTGTTTTCCCTGCCTGGGTGGAAATTAGTCCATAATAAGGCCATGAAGTCATCGCTCCCCAGGTCCCTGAGCAGAGCCAGCACCCCAGGGACAGGCAGGAGCTGTTCCCTGGCCATGCCCTCCCCTCCCATCCACTACTCAGCTGGGAATCCCAGTGCTGGGAGCTCAGCGCTCCGGGATGGCCTCCAGGACCACCTGGCTGGATCCCCACCGGGTCTGGGGGCACAGGAAGGCACAGCCCCCCTTTCCCACTCCCCTCTCGTAACTCTGGGTTACCCAACACCTGAATCCCTGAGTATCCACATCCCCAGGAAGTTTGCAGCCTGGCACCATCACCCCTCCCTGCCCACATCCCTGGGAGCTCCCAGCCCATGGATACACCTCCATCCCCTGGCGCCCTCCCCCGGGTCTCCCCATCCCTCTCATCCCTATCCCGCCCTCATCCCGCTCTACTTGCAGCCCCTTGGAGCCCACATCCCACCTCCCCTGGCACCTTTTCCCCCTGTACCCCCATCCCGCAGTACCGGCACCCCCTGGCACTCCCACCGCCCCAGTAATTCCCATCCCCGCTACTTCCCATCTCCGGTACCCCCATCCCCATCCAGCATCCCCATCCGTGGTACCCCGTCCGCGGTACCTCCACCCCTATATCCCCATCCCTGGTATCCCCATCCCAAGTATCCCCATCCCCGGTCCCCCCGCGCCCGCGGAGCTCCCCGCGCATCCCTCACCGGGCGGAGGCGTTGGATCCCCGCTGCGGGATGCGCTGCGCTCCGCTCCCGCCGCCCGGCCCTTCCCGCCCGCGCGGATCGCCGGGAGCTGTAGTCCAGGACCGGGCATCCCAAAGCGCCGGCCGAGCGGGAAAAGCGCCGCTTCCCAGCCGTTTATCCCGGAAAAGCCGGCGCGCGCTGCCTCGCGCGGCGGGGACGGTGCCGCCGGGGATGCGCGCGGTGGATCCATCCCCTCAAATCCCGTGTTTTCCTCGGGAGCCGGAGCACGTCCAGGGATGTGGGTACCCTCAGGAGGGGGGTCAGCCCAAACGGGAGCCCCAAAGCCATGGATGGGGTGCCCGGGAGGGGCTCCTGCCCCGCGCAGAATGGGAATGGGGAGAGGATGGATGCAGGGGGGATGCGGGATTTCCCTCCGGAGCTGGGAATGGCTCTGAGGAGGCGTCTCCTGCCGCGAAGCACAAGTTGGGAACAACCCAACATTTTAAGCACCAGAGTGCTCGTCTGAGTTAAATTCCCAAGTGGAGGGAACAATCTTCCAGCCTTCTGCTGGAATTAAAACCATCCCGAGCTCTGGAGACGAACAGGGTCAAGTCACACCTGCCCAAAGGGCTGGAAAAGCTCCTGGAATTACATTGTTGGAACCCTCCACCCTGCTCCGGGCAGCAGAGGCATTCCCAGGGAAACACATGGGCATTTCTGGGAGCAGGCAGGACCTCTGTGTGGACAGGGATGTGCTTCTGTCGGGAAAGGCCTGTGGGGGAAGTCCAGAGTCTCCCCCAAAAGCTGCCCAGGGAAGGAAACAGGACATTTCCTACAGCTCCACTCACAGGCTGGGAACAGCCAGGCCTGGGATACCTCGTGGAGCAGAATTCCCAGTGTCCAGCTGCTGTTCTTTGCCTTCAAACACAAGTCAGGTGCAAGGGCTGGGCTTTATAAAGGTGTTTATTAAGTACATGGCAGCCCTTAATATATATGAAACCCTCCAATAATGTGAAATAATACATAAAAAAATCTATTCCAGCAGTTTTTTCCACGGAAAGCCCTCTCCTCTCCCTCCAGCACCAGCTTTGCAGAAGGGATTAAATTAATCCAGCAGGGCTGGATGATCCCAAAGGAGTTATGTTGGGATCCCCCCCATCAGCCAGCGCACACCCACAGCCTGGTGTGTCCCTCCACACCTGGTTATCCAGCTGCAAAACATCCTGAGGGTGCTGAATATTCCCAAAATCCAGGACATTATTTGGAAATCGGGTGCTGGATGCTTTGTCCTGCAATGAATCCGTAAAAAAAGTTCCCTTAGAAAGGGATGGGGACTGAAATTTGGATTTACCCCGGGTTATTCCCGGGGATTGGGCTGCCCAGTTTGGCATAAATTTATCTCCAGGCTTTTCCATCGGTTTTCCTCTTGGTGTGGGATTTGGGGGGCCTGGCTTATTAATTTTTTTTGTAAACTGTGGGGGTTTTTTTCCATTAAATAGGATAAATTTGCCGTCCTCAGGGTGGAAAAGGCGATCCAAGGAGCCAGGAGGTTCTTTCCAGCCAGTGGTGGAAGAAAGGAGAGGATTCCATGGGAGAACACATTCAGCCCCTCGCTCAGGAGAGCCAAATCTGGGATTCTCCCCCATTTTCCAAAGCAGTTGGGTGCTGTTTAATAAAAAAGGCTTGACTTTGGCACCTCCACTTTGTCTTTCCTCCAGCTGGGCTCGAGCCTGGTTGGGTTCTCCAGGATTTTGGGCAGGAAACAAAGGAATTTTGAAACTCTTCCCACATCCCAGGGAAACGGGGTCTTCCTGTGGATTCTCCCTGAGTCCTGGGGACAGAAGTTCTGGGAGTTCAGAGCCGAACCTGGGGAGCAACATCCAACATTTGCCATTCCTCTCAATCCCACATTCCTGCCAGAGGGACCTTGACACCCCTGCCCAATTCCCTGATTCCCCAGGGAGCTGTTCCACGTCTATTGCTCAGGAAACATTTCCAGTGGGAATCTGCACCAAAAAAAAAAAAAAAGAAAGCAAAATACTTCAGACAGCAGCAAGTTGTGAGGGGTTAAGGGGAGATATGCAGGGACAGAGCCCTGTCCGTGTCAGTCCTGGGTGGAGACCCACGGGAATTCTTCATCTCTTTCCCAAAAGACTTGTTTTCCCTGCTCTAAACAGGGGCAGGGGCTGGTTTTGGGATGAGGGGCTGGTTTGGGATGAGGGGCTGAGTTTGGGGTGTGAAGGACTGGTTTGGGATGAGGGGGTGGTTTGGGATTTGAGGGGCTGTTTTGAGGAGCTGTTTTGGGGTCAAAAGGCGGGGACAGACCTCCACTACGGCGCGGGGGGGGTGGTCGATGTGCGGGCAAGGCCGGGCCCCGCCGCTCCCCACTCCCCTCCCGCTGCCGTCCCGCAGCCCTGCCTGGCCGGGCGACCCGTGGAGAGTCTCCCGGAGCCGTGTCCCGATCCCGGATCCCCGCGGGATCCCCCTTCGGCACCGCCCGACCCGCGGCCTTCTCGCTCCGCGCAGCCGCCTCGGACTACAACTCCCGCCGTGCCTCACCGAACTACAGCTCCCGCCGTGCCTTGCGGCGCGCCCGCCGCACTACAGCTCCCGGCACGCCCCGCGCCCGCCCGGGCCCTGCCGCCGTGTCTCTTTCCCCTCGGCCGCCAGGTGGACTACGCTACCCGTCATGCTTCGCGCGGAGCGGCCGCCGGCGGCCGCGGCGGCGGCGCGCGGGGCATGCCGGGAGTTGTAGTCCCCGCGGGGCCGCGGCTGTAACGGTCCCGCTGGTGGTACTGCCCCCCCCCTCCCTCCCCCCTTTCCCATTCCCGGCTGGCGGCTGCGGGAGCAGCGGGAAGAGGAGGAGGAGGAGGAAAGAGAGAGGTGCTGTACCGGCACAGGGGCCGCCGCCGCCCGAGCAGCCGCAGGTGAGACGAGGGGAAGCGGCGATGGGGACACCCCCGGGTGACAGCGGCGGGGTCGGGGGGGAGTGTTGAGTGCGGGGTCCCCCCGACCCCGGGAGGGGATGGGGACGGTGATGGGGAGCATCTCCCCCCCGGCTGGGTGCGGGGGAAGGGGGGGGCGAGACACGGCGCCGGGATTGTC